CTCTATCCCTCTCCCTACCTCTCTGTAAAAAATCAATACAATATATTAAAAAAGAAAAAAAAGAAGTGAGTACAGACCAAACCGTGACAAGATTAAGAGATATTCAGCCATATTAATGCTTCTGTGACGACAGCTGCTCACACAGGTGAAGGGGTATAAGCAGAAATAATGTGCGGCAACGGAACGAGAGGTGTGAGGCAGGTTCACCAATTTTTGTATTTTTGTTCTAATAGATTTAGATGGATGTTACTGGCTAAATTTTCTAAGTTGTTTTTCTCCATCACTAAAGCAGGACTGTTAATTACCTATCTTACCAGATTGTTTCAGGGATTAAATGAAATAATGTTTTGTGTGTGTGTTTTGTTTTTTTATCCTCACCTGAGGATATTTTTCCATTACCAAACCATGACAAGATAGAGATATTCAGTGATATTAATGCTTCTGTGACAACAGCTGCTCACACAGGTGCAGGGATATAAGCAGAAATGATGTATGGCAATGGAATGAGCGGTGAGAGGCCAGGTTCACCAATTTTTGTATTTTTGTTCTAATATATTTTGATGGATGTTACTGGCTAAATTTTCGGAGTTGTTTTTCTCCATCTCTAAAGCAGGACTGTTAATTACCTATCTTGCCAAATTGTTTCAGGAATTAAACAAAATAATGTTGTGTGTGTGTGTGTGTGTGTGTGTGTGTGTAATTCTCACCTGAGGATATTTTTCCATTGAAAGGGAGAGGGAAAGACAGAAATATATCAATGTGAGAGAAACACATTGATTGGTTGCTTCCTGCACACGCCCCAACCCGGCCCTGGGCCTGGGAGAAGTCTGCAACCAAGGTGCGTGCTGGAAGAGAGAGGGAAAGACAGAAATATCGATGTGAGAGAAACACATCGATTGGTTGCTTCCTGCACACGCCCCTACCAGGGCCTGGGCCTGGGAGGAGTTTGCAACCGAGGTACGTGCCCTTGAATGGAATCGAACCCGGGACTCTTCAGTTCACAGGCTGACAATCTATCCATCCAAACCGGCTCAGGCTAAACAAAATGATGTTTTTACAGTGCCAGGCACATAGCCCCAACCCGGCCCTGGGCCTGGGAGAAGTCTGCAACCAAGGTGCGTGCCCTTGAACAGAATCGAACTCGAGACTCTTCAGTCCACAGGCTGACACTCTATCCATCCAAACCGGCTCATGCTAAACAAAATGATGTTTTTACAGTGCCAGGCACATAGGAGTTGTTCAACAAATGTTAATCTCCATCTTCTTCTTAGTTACCTGTTGGATATTTTCTATTTAGCTGGTAGAGGGAATAGTTTAACAACTTCACCCTCTCCAAGAAACAGCTGAGTTTTTTGTGCAGCCAGACAGTTGCTTCAGTTGAGGAAGACAACAATGTAGGGGAACCTTCTACTAAAAAAAAATAAACATTGGTGTAAGCCCCCTGGAAAGACAGGCAGCATCTATGCAAACTATTTAGAAAAAATGTAATAACGAAAGGGAGGAGAGTGCAGTTTCATTGGCCTCTGAAAGCTAGACTGGAACCAGTATTTAAATAACCAGGCTCGTAATACCATGTTCATAGGGGTCTAGGGGAGCACACGGAATATGTAAGGAAGATGTAAGTAGAGATTCAGGAAGGGGGATGAAGATGGATTGCAAGAGATGGAGGGGAGGGAATACAGAAGGAAATCAGAGGGAAGAGATATAAACAAGAGGTGATATATATAAATGTTGCATCTTTATGTTGTACAGCTAAAACTAATACAATGTTGTATATGTCAATTATACTTCAATTAAAAAAAACACACAGAAGATGGTAATTTCATAGAAAAAAAAAGGTAAATTTGCATTAAGGAAAAGAGCGATTGAGAAGAAAAAGAGAAACACAGCTAAGAAAATAAAGGGAAAGAAGGAATCCAACTAACCCTTTATAAGACCCCAAGAGGAATGGCAAGAGAGGGAGGAAAGAGTGGAAGGAAAAATAAAGTCCAAAGAAAATATGACTTGGTTAATAAATTCACATAATAGTAAATAGATCTCAAATGCAAATAGGACCATGGAATATAAATAATGACAGAAACCATAAGAACAGATTTATAGTCAATGGGACCTGAAGAAAGAACTGGATTAAAATGAGTTTGTTTTATTTAAAAGAAACAGGGAACTGGGGGGCGGGAAGGGATTAACCAAAGAACTTATATGCATATATGCACAGCCCATGGACACAGACAATAGTGCCGTGAAGGCCTGGGGAGGGGAAGAGGTAGGGAGGGGGGTCACTGGGGGCGAAAAGGGAACAATTGTAATACTTTCAACAATAAAGGTAAATTTAAAAAAATAAAAGAAACAGATGTCACTAATGGCAAAATGCATTTAAACTGGAGTGATACAATGCGCTGTATTATCTAACACAGCGGTTCTCAACCGGTGGTTCGCGACCCCTTTGGCGGTCGAAAGACCCTTTCACAGGGGTCGCCTGAGATCATCCTGCATATCAGATATTTACATTACGATTCATAACAGTAGCAACATTACAGTTATGAAGTAGCAACAAAAATAATTTTATGGTTGGGTCACAACATGAGGAACTGTATTTAAAGGGCCAGAAGGTTGAGAACCACTGATAACACATGTGTTATTCCCTGACATAAAGGCTTTGTAACAGTGACCACAGGTCTGCTGAGAAGACTTGAGGACATTGTTTAAGGGCATAGCAATGACAATGGTAGCCAAGCCAGAGCTGAGTGAAGGACATACTTACAGGCAACGATATTTACGTAGCGGTTCTTGTGCTTGTTGTCTGGGTGATTGGAGCTGTCTGCTGTGATACCTAAGTCAACAGTACAGCTCTGCACTTCCTGTAAAGAAATCGTACGTGCAACATTTTCACACGTGTCCTTTCAGACAAAGGGCCTTAAAATATAATGAAGACAAAACAAACAAAATAGTCTAGCCAAAAAATTTTTAGCATGTTACAACTATTTCTTGGCTAAGAGAAAATGCAGTGAAATAATGCCTTACCTGGTAAAACTCTTTCAGTGTCTAATGAGGGAATGAATGCCAAAAAAGTAAAGAAATCAAATTCCACAGCACACGACAAATGAGAAAAAAAAGTGTTCATATTAGGTTTACAATGGAAAACTATGATCATGCAATAAATACATTTGTCAAATACAAAACAGAATGTTTCAAACAGTTACATGCAAATCAAAATTTCTGACAATTTGGAACTTTAAAATTATGTGAAAGGAAAAATTAACATTTTTAAAAAGGACAGTGGTAAAATAATATGATGGTTTTTTAAAAATTCAGATGAGAAAGCCATCTATTTGATGACACATTTTGTCATATTAGGTAGATTTGCTAATATCCAAATATAATGCTATTTGATCACTGTAGCACTATTTGAAACTGTGAATTAGTGATACATATTTTTGTTTGAGTAATTTTAAAGAATAAAACACTTCCTATTAGGTGGTTTGAAATAGATTTAGGGTTACAAAATATTAAAAATCTCCAAAAACTTTTTATCATATATTCTAGGTCATTTTGAAACAAAAATTTAGATAGCATTACTTTCTATACACTGACCTCTTTTTAATTTAATCTTCAATGGGTATAGAAAATTACTTCTGGCAATTATCTTTAAAAATGAGCTAAAATATTTTTCAGAGATATTTTCTAACTATATTAGTTTGGAATTAATAATTATTTAATATTAAAATAATGACATGAAAGCCTTACACTTTTTTGAGAAAGTATATAACCCAAATATGAACCTGATTAATCACAAATGGCCCAGCCTCTCTCCAAGTAAGCTTTTAATGTCTCTTTTGCAGCAAGTCATTCTGACTCCAGAGTTAAAAACAATCTAATATTTAAAAGGTATAGCATTATTAGTTACTAAGCTAATTATTAAGTTAATGAAAAGTTTTCTTTCTTGAATCAAACTGTGAGTTAAAAGCAGTGGAATTAAAAAACACATTCTGAGGTTATTAATTTCATTATTACAAATAGCATAGTAATATTCAAAATGATTTTATAGTTGTGAAAGCGATAAATTTGCTTTTGCCCATATGCTATCAGCAAATTTATTATAAATTGTTTATTTTTCCTGATGGTTTTTAACATTCAGAAAATCAGACCTATCCTTGGCACATTCTCCCACTTTCAATTGCGATTTTGTTTGAGGTGAGCCTGGAAGTTTCTATGAGTTAAAATTGAACCACTCAGTAACCTCTGTTAAATAAGAACAATTAATTTGACATTTTAAATATGTAATTCTTTATATTATTCCGCTTTACTTAGTCATTATCTCACACTGATTTCTTATTCAAAGTCGCTATGGCTTAGGTTTTTTTTAAGATTTGGTGAATTGCCTATTTTAAATTTAATGAAACTACATCACTTTTCATTTCTATTTCTTTTGATTTCGTAAAGCTTTCTCATCTGTGGCATCTTCCTTCCCTAAATGCACCTTGGTTGGCGTGACTCCTGGGAAGCAGTTGCTGGGTGCAATGGAGAGAGCGGCACACCCTCTGATCAGGAGCAGAGCTGAAAGTGCTTTAAAGAGGGAGGTCCTCAGCCCGGCAGGCGTGGCTCAGTGGTTGAGCGCTGACCTATGAACTAGGAGGCCGGTTCTATTCCTGGTCAGGGCACATGCCCGGGTTGTGGGCTGGATCCCCAGTGTGGGGTATCCAGGAGGCAGCCGGTCAATGATTATCTCTCACCATTAATGTCTCTCTCTCTCTCTCTCTCTCTCTCTCTTTCTCTCTCCCCCCATCCTTTCCTCTCTCAAATCAATAAAAATTTATATTAAAAAAAAAAGGTCCTTAGAGCACTTGGATATTCAGGAGGGAGACAGAAAAGCCACATAATGCTTCCTGATTCTGGAATGGAAAGGACATGAACTTTAAAATCACAGACCTAGGTTTGAATCCCAGCCCTGCTATTTTAGTTATTAATTCACTTCTATGGAAACTGATTTCATCATCAATGTAAATAAAAGCAAATAACTTCTAGAGTTGGGTGAAAGCTGAATGTAGAGTCACCTAGTACAATAAGTGACCCTATTTTGAAAAATCTGTAAACTGATAGTTCAATGGGCCATGATAAATTCACAGCAAATTTATCTGCCTCATCTACCTAAGAGTATTTTAAGGGATATTACTAGAAAAATTTTCATTGATTGTAAATTTTAAATGCTTTTTAGAAATGTACATTTTTTTTTTGAGAAATTGGGATGTTCCTTTGTATAATATTTATTCTACCTGTATAATAAGTGCTTCTGCATTTACAGTGCTGTGATATTTATAATTAACCATTTGTATATGCTTTGGCTGAGAAGCATGAAATTTAGTCATTTAGGGTAATTTATGTAATTTAGAAAATTAAAAGGAATCAGTGTTACTAATGCCTATTACTTTTAAAAAGAATGCTAGAGTTCTTTATTTTATGTGCCAGTATTAACTATGTTTTTAAAAATGTTTCCACTAGCATGACATGGCTTTTTAAAATGGAAAACCAATTTTCTAAATTATATGATAACCATACCACATCTCCTAAACACATATATAGAACTAATATTCTCACCAGAAGTGAAAATGGTTTCAATGTCATTAGGTCAAAAAATAGTCTACTGCTGAATCGTTTAAATTTGCTATTTTCCATATTACTTAACATAGACGTAGTAAAATCATACCTCGAATTCTTCAGTAAACCCACTACTTGCATGTAAGTCTGCAACATGCTTTGGAAAGTGCTTTATTGGAATTGCTCCAACATCATCTAAGTGAATAAAAAAAAATGAGGTTGGAAAGGATAATTCAACTTATATGAATGTGCTCCCATTATAAAGATTTATTAGGTGGCTTCTTCTAAAACAACTTCAAAATTCAATTATTCTTATAACCCCAATGAAACATTTAGCAACAATTACCAATTTTCTCTATATTTACTATCAATCATAATCTACATTTTAGAATTCTGATTAGATCAAGAATCTCTTTTCCTTTTATATTCCAAAGAGAAAAGAGTTCATTTTCAATGTTAAATTATAAATGCCACCAAAGCCTCACTTTTTATCAGTGAACTGCAACTCTTTATGGCTAACTTTCTTTAACATGAATAGGAGTTGCATGTAAATTCTAGGGAAAAATGCAGAAACAATATACTTTCAATTTTATCATGGACATGATATATAGTGCAATTTCAGTTTTTAAAAAATTGTATAGCTCAATGTCTTACAGTTAAATAGTAAGATTTTTTTTACAGTTGAAAACATTTTTCCTTTATTTTATATGTAATAGAGAAGACTTATATGCAGACTGTTCATTAAAAATGATGTCAAAAATCTTTGGGACTTTTAATCTTTAGTATTTCAAGAATTTTAACTTGAAAATATGCTATGGAAACAAACTCATCGTATCTGTGAGTTAATTGTGAAGAGGCCAATTTATTTCAACTGGCTCTATTTTTATTCCTGGAAAGACTTTCTTAGATTAAACATATTACTAGTACACAGCATGCAATTTCACAAGTGATTTCTCTGACAAGGAAACATCAAACACATTTCACTAGAAACAGTTATTTACATCAACAGCTGTTCAAGCATCCAGGCCATTTAATATTTTTAAGCCTCAATTACCAAGAATTGGTTGGTTAAAAAAAATTAGGATCCATCTGTTCTCTCTCTTAGATGAGTATACCTGAATACTAACATTGAATTAGCCAGTTAAGCTTAAGAAACTCTAGACAAAGGTGTAATTCCACCTTCACACCTACTGGAGGATCTTGCCTGCAAGTAGCTTTTATAAGCAGATAAGGAAACAGAAATAATTTGTCATATCAAAATTGTTGGTTCTTTACTAAAGGTCCTTCAAATCCACTGACGCTATCCTGTACAGGTAACCTCTTCGCACAAGCAAACTGACTACTTTTTATTTACAATTATGTTATTTTGCTAATTTCTTTTATGAATTGGTCTGCAAGTGAGACCCAAATATCTTTTCATTTTCTGATTTTATATGAAAATGCACACATTTGGGTGATCAGGAGTGCATTTTTGAGAGCTGAGCAGGGAAAAAAGAGGAGATGCCCTTGATCACTATTTTGAGAAGCAGAACAGGGATTTTGGCTTTCCTGAACAAGATCCTGATTTTGGATTTATTTTTTATATTGTTAATGATAACCTATGCTGGACTTTGGATAATATTATGGCTAATGTGCATACCCAGGCTAACAGGATATGTAGAAGAGGTAAGTTTGAAAGTGAAGGGAATCAAAATGCAATAGATAACAGAACTGAAAGTCTCAAATCCCTTATATGTTCATGAGAAATGGTGCTATCCTAACATAAATACACAGTAGTTTAATACAAAGAGTTAAATAGAAATAAGACAGTAGCGGATTAAAGACACAGAGTTGATAAAAGAGGAAAAACAGCCAAAGATGACTGACTCCTATGCTTGTTAAAAGTTACAAAGAAAATGCTTCTCTTTTTCCCCTCTATTTTTTAAATCATGAGATTTCAGAAGGTAATATCAGGTAGAACTTGTGTCTTTAGCAGTAATATATGTAGTACTAGAAAATTTAAGAAGAGGCTTCTGTAAAATGGCCACGTGGGTGAATTTTTCCTTTTGTTTTCCCTGATTTGGTGACTGTCCATGGCCTTATCTCACCTTCTATCTGTGCTTCCTCCATAGGCCACACATTTCTAGACAATTCCTTTTTTGTTCTCTCTTTCATGCTGAGAGGTTGTACAATGGTAATAAAATAAGTGTCTGGGAATGTAGTCATAGTGTGAACTCTAGGGTCAATGGGTGTCTTAAATGACACTGGCTGATTCTTGCATAGTGTTAATCAGGCAAGCTCTGATAAAAATAGTTGACTTTTTTTCTAACATAGTTAAGAAACCTTTTCCCACATAAATGCAGATGATCAGAAAGAACTAAAGATTCTCCTCATTTTTTAAAAAAATATATTTTATTGATTTTTTACAGAGAGGAAGGGAGAGGGATAGAGAGTTAGAAACATCGATGAGAAAGAAACATCAATCAGCTGCCTCCTGCACACTCCCCACTGGGGATGTGCCCGCAACCAAGCTACAAGCCCTTGAGTGGAATCGAACCTGGAACCCTTGAGTCCGCAGGCCGATGCTCTATCCACTGAGCCAAACTGGTTAGGGCAAGATTCTCCTCATTTTTGTTATTTTGTCCTATCCACCCCATTGCATTGGTTTAGTCCATTTTTGTTGTTTAGGTTTCCACTAAAGAAGCTGAAAGGACCCAAACTCAGCATTATTCTTAACTAATGTTATTGCTATAAGTGCTTATGTTCTTTAACATAGTACATATGAACAATTATAAGCTATTTTCCCACATCCTGTGTATGGTTAAGAATGTTCAAAATTTCTGAGAACAAGTTATACAACTGGATGCCTGATACATGATGTAATACATATTTTGGGCAACACAGATGTTTACTAAAGTATATTATAGGCATTTGCAAAGTACAATAAGGACAACCCTTCCAGCATTTTGCTTTTCATTCAACACCAACCAGCTACTCACAGTCATGCGTTAAGCTATTACCTGAAACTGGAAAGACAGGTGTTGGAGGTGTGGATATTACTCTGGGGGAAGTACTGTCCTCCAAGTAAAAGTGTGCAGTCTGGAAACATTTCCTGGAAGGGAAAGAAAGCAATTTAAACTACCAGCTGCCTCAGAGAATGAGACGATTTCTGAGCTGCTTAAAAGTCATGACAGAAATCTTCAGAAACAAAACATAAGGGGAAATCTGTATCAATTTTTATAAAACACAAAGTATTGGAGCGATTTATGGCCTCCAAATTTATCTCAGTTTTATGTCCCAGATGCAGAAGAGCAAGTGGATGTCAGACTTGCTGAAAGCAGAGATGGTATTTGAAGTTGTAGCTGAAGTGGTAGCTTTGCGGAGGTAGAATGTCTTAACATCCTAGTTACTCTTCCACTGTTTCTACCTTGGACAGGACCGCAGTGGAAAAGAGCCTGTCCAAAGCTATTTTCACTCAACATTTCAGTGACCAGGCCCGTCCGAGCCCATTCAGCCACTAGCAAAAGGTAGCAAGCTATGATTGTGTGGGAACAAAATTCCACAGTGGTAACATTTTGATGAAAAAAGAAGTCAGCTTTATACTGTGTGATAATGCACTGATGACAGAACAAAGTGAGGAAATAATGAGCATGTAACCAAAAACAGGGGTGATTTTCTTCCCAACAGATGCTAGCCTTGTTGATGGGGGTTTTGAGAATAAACATATTTGGAATCAACGATAACTATAACCTACAATGTCACCTGCATCTATTTCCATTCAGATAATAAGAGTAACATCTGGTAAGAGCACACTACAAACTACTGAGAAGAGCAAAGAACCAACTGCTGCTATAAATGAATGCAAAACATGCTTAATTTAAAAATTTAGATAATTAAAACTGCTAATGACACTCTTTGATGTGGGTCATTTAATTTATTTGAAGTATTATTCATGAGTGGTTAAGTTTATTTTGAATAAATGCCAATCTCATTTTCCATTTAAAAGCTTCAAGCTACAAGATATTTATCCTAATAAACTCTAACATAACATTTGTTCTTCCATGACACACCTACATTTTTTTTAGTTTTTTAAAAATATATTTTATTGATTTTTTACAAAGAGGAAGGGAGAGAGATAGAAACATCGATGAGAGAGAAACATCGATCAGCTGCCTCCTGCACACCTCCTACTGGGGATGTGCCCGCTACCAAGGTACATGCCCTTGAATCGAACCTGGGACCTTTCAGTTCGCAGGCCAATGCTCTATCCACTGAGCCAAACCGGTTAGGGCCATACCTACTGATTTTTTCAGCAATCAGTCCTCTGCATAAATTCTTCAATGGCTTCCCAATAGAATGGTTTTCAATTATTTCAGGAAAGACTAAAGACTCTTCATGATTTGGTCCCTTACCTACTTCAACTCTCTCATCTCCTTTAACTCCTTCCCTTACCCAATGGGCTCTAGTCCTCATGGCTCCTCTCTTTCTCCCTGGAGGAGGCCCTGTTAGTACCATCTCAAGCTTGGCTCTTGCTGTTCCCTCTGGCCACCTTCTTCTTCCCCATCGGTTTTGCATCGGTGCAAAAGCCACTTCCTCTGAGAGTCCTTCTTTGACCATGCTAGCTAAAAACACCAGCCTAGCCCACCAAGTTACTATTCTCTGCCCTTTGTTTGCTTTGTGGCACTTAGCACTGCGTGATACCTTATTTATGTATCTGTTCATTGGTCTTATCTGTTTTTAGCTGGTCCCCCCTCATCAGAATGTAAGTCCCACTAAGGCAAAGTACTTTGTCTTAATCAGTGCAGTGTCAGTCCTCAGTGCTAAGAACAGCTCTGGCATGTGTAGGTGCCCTCAGATATTTGTTCAATGAATTCACTGCTATCAGTATGAGTCACATAACATTATATAGTTTATTTGTAACCTTCATGTCACAAGAAAAAAAATTCAAAAGCAACGATGTGCATAGCAAAACCTAGCCCTCTGCTGCAATGCTATAAGTCTTTGATAATGAAACCTGTGAGAACATAGATAATGGAGAGAACACAAGAATGGCTTCAAAAGCAAACAGATGGTGCAAGAGGAAGATGAGTGGATGTAGAATCAAATGACAAAGGGATCCTGTTCACATCTGGAAAGTGGAGTAGATATGGCAGATCAATGAAGAATGGAGAGATGAGGGACAGCCTATATAGTAAAAGCCTAATATGCTAAGTGTCTGACTGTTCGTTCAACTGTTCGACCAGTTGCTATGATGTGCACTGACCACCAGGGAGCAGACGCTCTGACCTGTAAGTTAGCTTGCTGCTGGGGCCTGGCCGATCGGGACTTGGCGAGACAGGCTGGACACGCCCTAGAGCCCTCCCACAGTCCCTCCCCAGCCCTGATTGTGCACTGGTGGGGTCCCTTGGCCTTGCCTGCACCCTATCGCAATCCAGGACCCCACGGGGGATGTAGGAGAGCTGGTTTCAGCCTGATCCCCACAGGTCAGGCCGAGGGATCCCAGCGGTGCACGAATCTATGCACCAGGCCTCTAGTAGGTCTCATGATAAAGCAACCATCCCCTAGCCCTAGCTGGATAGCTCAGTTGGTTAGAAGATTTCCCAGATACACCAAGGTTTTGGGCTCGATCCCTGGTCAGGGCACAAATAAGGAGCAACCAATGAATGTGTAAAAAAGTGGAACAACAAATTGATGTTTCTCTCTCTCAAATCAACCAACCAATCAATCAATCAATAAAGAAACCATCCTATTGATATACCACATTTGAATAGAATTGAAAGCAGACTGGAGCAGAAACCACAGGGAAAATTTGGCTTATCTTTGCAACCACAGATGTAGCATATTCTGAAACTGGGTTAGATACTTGCTTTTAAGATCACAGAGTACAATCTCTTTCATTCCTCTAAAATAAGGTTACACAAGCAGGTAAAAGGGTTTGTATTCACTTTTCAATGAATCTTAAAGCTATAAAATGCATGAAGAGACAGTGCAATATAGCAGCTGATACAAGAATCTCTTCTACAGCATCTTTGACACATAAAGAAGGCCCAGTCTGAATGCCTTCAGTAACAAGGAGCTCACTTCTTTTTGTCATCTTTAGTTGCTAGCTATTTTTTTTCTCATACTACTTCAAAGCTCATTCCCTTCTAAGTGCCTCCAAATGGTACCAAAGGGGAGGCCTTCCTGTCCCACTGTTGTGCCTCTGACTGTTGAAATTGTTCTTGTATCAACCCAAAACTCAGTCTCTCTATTCCTTTAACACACTGGCTCTAGTTCTGTATGTTACAGATTTTCAGATTATGGTACCCAGTATCTTACAATATGTATACCCTATCTACCTATGGTCCTCACCTTTTTTGACATTTCTACTCTAATAATACTAACAAGTTACAGATCATTGAACATGCCCTTTTCTGTCCTAACTCAGTATTTCTCCTCCCAGCTTTAAACATTGTTCTCCTTCTGATCAAATGCCTCTCTTACTGATATGCCAGGCAAGCGCTGTCCTCCTTCAAGACCACTCAGTGGCATCTTCCCCGGGAAAGCATCCTCTCGCTGTCTGAGCAGACTCTAGCACTCAGTTACTCTGTTCCCACTGCACCCAACACAAACTTCCATTCACAATACCTTTACTTGATTTAAAAAATATGCTTAATTAATCCTGACCTTCACCTCACTGGACATTATTCTCCATTATTTTATTTTAAATTCTCTCCTTAATTGGTGGTTAGAGTAATTATTTTGCAATATATTTATTTTGTGCCATGCCATATATATTTAAAGATGGGAATTATGTAGACTCAACTCTTTCTTTTTTTAAAATTGATTTCAGAGAGGAAGGAAAGGGAGAGATAGAAACATCAATGATGAGAGAGAATCATTGATTGGCTGCCTCCTGCACGCCCCCCCACTGGGGATTGAGCCCGAAACCCAGGCATGAGACCTTGACTGGAATCAAACCCAGGACCCTTCAGTCTGCAGGCCGATGCTCTATCCACTGAGCCAAACCAGCTAGGGCTAGACTCAACTCTTAATACAGTGCCTGGAGTACAACAGGTGTTAAACGTTGAATGATTAGATGGATTTCCAGGAGCAAGTAAATCCACCAATCATAAATCAGTTTATAGCTGCATTCTAAAGTCTCTTATCTACCCAAGCCCCAAATGGGATAACTTAAAAATCTCAAAGCATTTGGGAGGGAGAGGTGGAGTATATAGCTAGAGAAAGATGAATGCATGGATGGATGAATGGATGGACAAATAGAAAAAGCTTGTCTCTGAGAAAATGGGAAGAAGATAGCATCTCATAAAATAGAAAAGATAAATTAAAACACATTGGTACTGACGTTTAACATGTTGCTAATGTTCACTGTAGTATCTGGGTAAATACCAGCTCTACTTTTTTTTTTTAGCAAAAGAACCTTGTAAGTAGGAAAATCATACCAAAATCTTGTAAGTGGGAAATATTAAAATAGTGCAGGATAAATTCTGGATGAAGGGCATTTGCGTATTGCTACTAGGTAATCTTACCTAGGAAGAGACATTCTACTTAAAAGGCAGCATGGTACTGGGAGGCCTCTATTCTGGGGTGGTAGCTCCCCTCAATGGCCTACAAACTTAAACTTAAGATGAAGAGAGAATTCGAAATGCTTTTCTTCCCACTCCCACCAGCCAAAACAATGTGTCTATGGCAAGTTCTTTTCTATACTGCTTTTAATGAATGCTGTTTTGTTGAATATAACTGGTGTTTTGTGTTTTTTTTTTTTGAAAATTCTAACTACTAAAAAAGCTCTAAAAAAATTTACCCCTTGTCTTTTTAAAAAGAACTTTTTGACTATCTTCCTTATCAAAGTAATTTTGCATCTTTGAAATTTACAACTTGGCTTATGTAAATTATACCTTAAAACATCTGGAAAATAATTTCAAGGCATATTATTTAATGTATGACAAGCCTCACTATCTATAGTCCATCTGTTCTGTATAAGCAATGACTGTCTTCACGTCTATGTGCTAAGTGTTGATCACTATGGCTCCTGCTAATTATCACTCAGCCATGATGAAAAAGTGATGACTGTTTTAAACTTGCAGACATAGGCCCTATCAATCAACGTTAATATGATTATTCAATTTACACCTTTTCATCACAGTAAGTATTTAGAATTAAAAACTCAACATTTGTAATTATTATTACATTTTTTAGATCCTTATACAAATAGGAAACAATATCCATTCCTCATGCTGTATTCATGACGGAAACCCGAAAGGGCTGACTGAAATCTATATGGTAATCTAGTGAAACTTCCCTGCAAATGGAAAAAAGAGAAAATTAATTCTTAGGTGGGTGAGTGAGGTGCCCAAGGCCATAAAACAAATGCCAGGATGAACTGGGAAAGGGACCCAGACTTTATCACCTCTAATTTATTCTGTCTTCCTGCTACAACATCTTTTCTCTCAAGGTTTGCATAAAACATAGGGGACCACCTTGAGTTAGGTAAATTAGACAAAAGAGAGGATTTATCTTAACACTTTGAGGTTATATTTTTCTCCTAAAAACTAGGCTAGAAAAAATGTTTAAATATGTAAACTTGGAAACACAAAAAAGGGCCATATTGCCATTAGGACTCTTGTTGGTATGATTTAAAAATATATTTTTATTGATTTCAGAGAGGAAGGGAGAGGGAGAGAGAGAGAGAAATATCAACGATGAGAGAGAATTATTGATTGGTTGACTCCTGCATGCCCCCTACTGGGGATCGAGCCTGAAACCCAGGCATGTGCCCTGACAGGGATTTGAACCGTGACCTCCTGGTTCATAGGTCGATGCTCAACCACTGAGCCACGCCAGCTGGGCTGGTATGATTTTTAACCTTTCCACAGGCTGCCGTTTCCAGGAAGGCCTAAAATGTTTCCAAATTGACTAGTGGAATCATATTGTTCACAAATGCATCTACATTGAAATTTGGGTAATTGACACAAACTTTGAAGAATGTACTAACACTGGCATTTTGTAATTTAGCAAATGATAACCCTATCATATTATTGATCTAAAAGATGACATTTCAAAGAGATTTAACTTCACATGGATGTGAGTAGAACAGATATGTCAAGTTTTGAAATGGGTAAGTAAAAATAGCAAATCTTATCAAAACATTTGATAGTTAGATATGAAATATACACATAAAGCCCAGCTGTTTTTGCTCAGTGGATAGAGCGTCAGCCTGCGGACTGAAGGGTCCCAGGTTCGATTCTGGTCAAGGGCACATGACCAGGTTGCAGGCTTGATCCCTGGTAGGAGGCATGCAGGAGGCAGCCAATCAATGATTCTCTATTATCACTGATGCTTCTATCTTCCTGTCCCTTACTCTCTCTGAAATCAATAAATATATTTAAAACCAAACAAAACACATAAAACCATCAGAGTGCAAATGCACTCTGTATTCAAGGTATATCTCATGTTATTTGTGAGGAAAAGAGAAACATCTTATTGGTGAAAGTAAAATTAATATTGTCCAACTTGTAATTTCATGTTTTTTCCTTGCATGATACAGATGGAATGACCCATTATTAATAGAAGATAAAAAACACTCCAAAATTTAATTTTCCATGAAATATCAAATCATATTGAAATAAGAGTAATTTTCAAATTTGTAGAAAATAAACTTAAAATATTAAGTAAGAGATTAGAAGACTCATAATAATTATTTCAATCTTATAACGATAAACTATCTGACATCTTTATTGGAACTTTGTTCTAGCACTATTTACTATGAAGTAGAATTAGGTCCTGCTTTCCATCTTATTTTAAATTTGTTTAACTCCAATTCCCAATAAGTTCAAAAATTAGTTTGGCAGGGGAAATAGATTAGATATAAACAAGTCATTTAAATAAACACGATATCAATGTTGGTAAGAAGGGAGAAAAGCAATATGAATTCTTGTTGATCAAACTTGTATGAATTCTGTACTGTGATCTCGGGACTCTGCAGAGCATGGGCTCTTCTGGAAAAAGAGTCATTGGCAACTGCAGAACTTACTGAAGAAAGCAGCTTTGTTTGCATCATGTTATGGACAAAATAGGCACCTAACCCATGTACAATAACAGAAGCATGATCGGTTCTCCACAGTCTGCAGTCTACTCTGTTCTGAAAGGAAATCACGTATGAAATACAGTTGGCCTTGAAAACAATCTACAGTAGCCAACCAATGTCATGCAACCACATGCTCCAGGGATGGCTCTCAGATACTCAGCTCATCCTGCTTCCGGTCTTGCCTCCTGCCTGCAATGCCCTTCTCCTTTATCTTTATTTCCACCTTCTTCTTTTCTTTATTTTTTTTTTACAAAGCCTTGTGTGGGCTTTCTAAAATTTTTTTATTAACATATTTTTATTGATTTCAGAGAGGAAAGGAGAGATAGAAATATCGATAAGAGAGAATCACTGATAGGCTGCCTCCTGTATGCCCCACATGTGCCCTGACCAGGAATCAGACCGTGACCTCCTGGTTCATAGGTCAACGCTCAACCACTGAGCCATGCCAGCCAGGCCTATCTCCACCTTCTGAATCCCATCCAGCTCGAGCACTACATTACGTTTGCCTGCCATTTCTGGCCTGTGAAGATCCTTTGTTCTCTTTTAGCTTTAGCTCTTTAGCTCTTTTAGACCATTTTAGCTTTACAGATATCAGCTGCCATGCAAGCACTTTTATAATATTTTATGTATTTTCATGGAGAATTACTTCTCAATGAGCATAAATTTCTTGACAGAAGTGACTGTCATTCATTCATTTAAAAATATTCTCCCATAGTTGTTACCTTAGGTATGTGGAAAATAGTCAATATTTTTGAAGTAGTAAATATTTTTGAATAAAATGAGAATGTATTTTGGGATAACACATAAAGAATGGTAATATGGATTTATAGCAAAATGTAAACAAAAAGGAGTTAATTATAGATCTTCTGAACAAAATGCTCTTTGAAAACAGAATTAGAAAGTACTAAGCTATGCCCTTTACTTAGTTTACAGATATGATTCTCTTTATCATTATGAAGTTCTTGTTTACTAACAGAAAATCATAACAGCTATACTGACTTACATTGTGTCCATGTTAAACTCACCAATTTGCTTTGTGTTCATCTTGCTATAGGATGGGAAGCTTATGATGGGTACAATTTTCCCTGTCTTTTAAAGATTTTAGTAGGTTATTGGTGGGAATGAAGCTAAATTTCATCCTCAAGGCAAATTATAATATATTTTCAAATCCCATGGGTCTTTATATGGTCATTAATTTTATTTTCTAATTAAATTCATATTTTAATTACTTGAATTTTACTTTTATATATGGGGTATTATTTTTTTTTAGTATGCAGTTGATATGCATCTTGTACAAAATCCAATAATTAAAAAACTACTTTTTACTATATCAAAAATTATGTATTCTTAAATATAATTTTAAAAATTATAACAGTGGGAGCATTGAAGCTGAGAAGCTTTTAATCATGTTAAATGTTATGATAAGGTTTGAATGTTAAATATGAAAGTATAACTGTAAAAGTACTGCATTATAATAACTTAATACAAAGGTCCTCCATTTTACCTTTCATTGTTTGATTGAAGTATGAATAATAATCAAATTTTTCATTATTCTGACTCTGGATTCAAAAATTAATCTCATTCACAGTACCTGGATAAGTTAATGGTAGCTCTCAAGTAAAAATTTGAATGTGCTTGGACAAACTTTCAGGTAAAAAACAGGCAAAAATCTGAGCTTTATGAAATACATTTCCAAAGAAAACACTCAACTTACCTCCAATAGATGAGAATACCCACAAGAACCACTAGACAGATAAAAGTCAGGGCTGACACGATCACAAGGGGTATAACTGCCTTCTTTTCGGATTCCAACCCCTCGGCTAGACCAATACGAGACTCATGGCTACTATTACTGGCCTCTGTAGTCGGAGAAAATGAAGAGAGTTGATATTTAAATTTAAAGGAAAGTTACAACATTTTCAATCAAATAATTGCAATTTTCAATCATAAACAATTGCAAATAATTTCTTACCTTTAAAATTTTGACTCTATGATGCAAAGAATGTTTATGATTATAAGCCAATTTAAGTAAACCAAAATCTAAAAAGAAGGCAGGCAATCAGACCTGAAGAACTATAATATCCTAACAGAGATTGGCTCCCAGGTAGGGGAGCTATGGCAGAGTGAGCATAATACTGCCTTGAGAAGATTGTTAACAGGAAAATGGAAGTATTAAAATAAGAAGGCTATATAGCTTTGAAATAAAACAATCAGGAAAACAATGCTACTTACTGAATCACCATATAAAATCTTGATTTTCCAAAATTAATTTTAAAAGAATCATTTTTAATCCTGCAATTCGGTAAATAATTAGGAGCAGTTAATCATTTCATTCAAAGAGAATCTTAGGACAACCGTTCTTACATTAAGATAAGTCTTAATGAAGATAACAACAATTTAAAATTTAAATGCAGGATGCTTTAAAAATGTTATTTTGAATATCCTTCTTACCAAATGTTTCTCTATCAAAAATAAAAATACTACTGCACATGAATGCAAGGACTACATAGATCTAAGAAATTCCTTTCAAATATGCAAATGTAAATTATGAAAAAGGTTAAATTCTCTCCTTGGGTTCATTTTAAAAGGTGACAAGTGAGTATTTTTGTGAGCAAGCAGGTGTGTCATTGTTCTAGCACTTTCAAAATCACTGCCACTGGCGCTGTCCTTCCAAGTTGTTACAGGCGGTTCAGAACCCAGGGGGTCAGTGGCCAGGCACCATCATCCCTTCTGCTCTGAGGTGTGTGCAGTGGGAGACAAAGGCGCCTGAGCAGAACTGTTCTACCACAATGACATGCTGACAGCACCACCTGTCTGCCCGGAGGAGTTTAGAAAGAACTACATTTACTTTCTCCAGGAGAGTCTCCATTGCTTCCTACACAAATGGCACATCTGATGCTGTTCCACTAAGTACTTTACCATTAGTGACATGAGACAAAGGCATTCAATGGAAATGGAAATATTTTGAGAGTGATATACATTCATAAGCAAAATATAGCTAATGCAGAGAACTTAAGATGTAAAATGATAGCTTCCTTCTGTAACTGGATGATGCAAAAAGGGCCAAAATTTTAATCTACTCACACAGATCCAAGGCATAGAAATGATACTCAAATTTCCCAAAATGTTTGTTCTTACAATTTATAAATGCATTTTCTAAAAAAAAAAAAAATAAATAAAAATAGTGGAATTCAAGGATGTGCCTAAAAATCATAAAATGGAAAAGTGGAAATATTGTAAGTCAACTGACACTTGCGCTGTAGTTAATATTCTGTGAGAGAAGCCCACGTTTACTTTCTACTTCGTTAACCATGTGCTCTGGCAGTTACGTATATGGCGAGGCTCATTTAGAAAATGAATTAATCTGATGATGAATCCTTGACAATATCTCTATGAAATTTACAAAAGCACCTTATTTTATTGTCTTTACATTTTTTTTCTGTTGTAACTATCATGGTCTAAATGGAAAATCTGTGGGTAATAAATTAAACCACCATTTAGCAAAGTTCCTGGTACCCAGTAATTACAAAGGGTGGTTAATACTATCTGTGTCTGTTATTCTCAAAGTGCAGTCTTTAGTGGCATTGGATCCCCTGAAATTTGTTAAAAATGCAAATTTGGGGCCTACCCCTACATTTACTGAAACTCAGTAGTGCCCTGGCCGGGTAGCTCAGTTGGTTAGAGCGTCGTCCTGATATGCCAAGGTTGCAGGTTCAGTCTCCAATCAGGGCATAAAAGAGTCAACCTGGAGAGCACTCTGCTAAGCGAAATAAGCCAGTCGGAGAAAGATAAGTACCACCTGATCTCACTCATTTGTGGTATATATTGAACAATGTAAACTGATGGACAAAATAGATCCAGAGACATAGAAGCAGCGAACAGACCATCAAACCTCAGAGGGAAGGCAGGGGAAAGTGGGAGGGGGGTGGTAAGAGATCAACCAAAGGACTTGCATGCATATAAGCATAACCAATGGACACAGACAATAGGGGGGTGAGGGCCTGTGCTGGGGGGCAGGAGCAGGCTGGGAGAGGTCAATGGGGGAGAAAGGAGACATATGTAATATTTTCAACAATAAAGAATTAAAAAAGACCCACAAATAACCAGTGAGGGGAGGGGGGAGAAGAATCAACCAATGAATGCGTAAATAAGTGGAACAAGTCAATGATTTGCTCTCTCTCTCTCTGAAAATTAATAATAATAAAAAAGACACTGTGGGTAAGGCCCTGAAATCTGTGTTTAACAAGTCCTCCAGGTGATTCTGGTTCACATTAAAGTTTGAGAACCAATGATGTACATTAATCACATACAAAGTGAGCTTATATAATTACACAGGTCTTCAATGACTACAAATATTCATAACAATATGCGTATAAACATATATAGATACATACATCTCATTTATATATATGCATGTGCAACATATATGAGATATGTATGATCATATATGTGCTATATAAGATACATAACACATAAAATGCATAACAAATTACCATATATACCATACACACTATGTATACACACTATCCATACACATGTGCACAAATATAGTCTTGTATACAAACTTTCTCTTAAGTTTTCTGAGAGGTCTGATTTTAAATAAAACCTTTAATTGAGGAGTTAGAATTATAAATCCATAATAATTAATTACATATTATGAAACCTAGGTATTTTGTTCAAGGTGGGATGCTACAGGACAATGCACACAATCAACTGATTGCATTGCATATTATAATGACAACTAGTTGTATTGGTTTTTATATTCATTAGTTGAAACTAAAATATTAATTTTGATATAAGCTCAGTTGTATATATAACTTACCTAAATGATAAGGCAAGAATCTACTGATAGACAATTAGAAAATAAAAAAACTAAGATTAATATTTTAAAGTACCTTTTCAGAATAAAACATTATAATTCTGGCATTACAAACTAAGCATTATATACATATTTTATTATCTACAATCTTGAAAGCCTAGTCCTAAGACATAGACACCAATAACTCAGGTTTTCAGTCTCAGTTTTGTATTAACTCCCTAACTGACCTGGGTCAGATAACCCAATATCTCTGGGTCTAGGTTTATGCAGTCATAAACTGCAGATATTAATATCTGGCTTACCTATATTATTTTGAAGAACATGTCTTATAAGTTATTCTACCTTTAAAGATACATAATCAAATTATAATTTTCAGAATTAGTCTATAGGCATTTGACAAAGAGGCATATTCACTTATTTGATAAGACATACTATGTATTATTTTTTTTTACAGATATAGGTTTAAAAACAAGCCATAATTTCCCTAATCTTGTTTTACTTTATTTACTTCATTAATTGTTATTTGATGATGTTGGATGCTATATTCATGTTGTTTTCTCCTCATCAGTGGGAAAACATACTCTTAATAATTTGATAAATCTAGTAAGATTTATTGAAGAGAAATTGCTAAATTTTAGTCAATAATTCTAGGTTTGGTATTTCCCTATATATATTGTCTTTCCATAAAAGCATAATCTAGCAAGAATGTCTCAATGATGTCACTGCCCAGAAAGACAGAAAAATAGATTGATTCCTGATATTTTCCTCTAAAATGTATCTGATAAACATTTTAAAAATGTACTATAATTGGAGCCATAGCATCGGAGATATATATGGTGACCTATGGGTTCATTATTTATTCTCACATAGAGTTTAAGTTTTTAAATTGGAATGCAATGTTAAATAGCATCAAGTCAGAATACTTAGACAACTTCTCTATCAAAATGTACAAACTTTTAATTGCTGCTGTACTGAAAGAACAGCATACAATTGAAGGGAATACAAATAATGAAAGAGAAAAAATGTCCCAAGGGATTAGTGTCTATGTTCTGGATTATAAATATCCACTTTTATGCAATAATACTGAAAGATGTTACTCTAGCCTGTCTTTTAATTTACTGTTAGATTTAAATATGTTCATTGTTAATTTAAAAAATGTTTTAAAATTTAATAAAAGCAAATTATAAAATTCTTATGATCAATTCAATAAAATTATCTAGTATTCTGTGTGGTTAATGGTATTGAATTTCCCTTTTTTCTCACTGGCATTTGAAGCAAACATGCTGTAAATAATCTGCTCTAAGAAACATCTGGCCAATAAACTAATTTGCATAAAATCCATTAATAAATGAAATGCATCTCTACAGAAAGTGTTCTAACATTTTACATCTTGTCATACAAAACCTATACATACACTGCATATTAATGCCCATTATTTAACTTCTTAGAAAGGTGTATAACAAGTACAAAGTAGACTGTGCTTTGTTAGTTTACACTGCCCTCTTTAGGCAACATTAAGATAATCAAACAAAGACAATTTTAAAAAATTAAAACCTTGTTTTTTTAAAAAAAGCTTATCATTCACTCTCAAAAGTTAGCAATAGGACTTTTTTATAAAGCTCCCCAAGCTGATGTGGTGCAAATTATGTAACTCCTTTTCATGGGGCAGGTCAGAAAAAGGTGCTTATATCATATTACTCTCAGAACTTAAAATTCATTTTTGAATTCAATAGAACTCATTTACACCTTATTTTAGAACATGAGTAAATAGGAAAATTAAAATCATCTAAAAATAGCAACACTTTAAGCTATCATTTAAAAAGCAGTATAGTAAAAATATATTATGCACACATAATTGCTCCCACATACAAGAGGCATCCTGTAGAACATGAAAAACTGACAATAAATAAAAGTCACTTTCTCTCTATTGCAGAGAATTAAAGACCAAAACAAACAAAACAGAAACAGACTCAGATTCAGAGAACAAACTGTGATGGCTGCTGGGAGTTGGGGTGGGGAAATGGGGCAATGACTGAAAAAGGTGAAGGGGAACAGGAGGGACAACTTCCAGTTATAAAATACATAAGGCCCAGGGATGTAGTGTACAGCATAGGAAATAGAGTCCATAATAGCATAATAATTTTGCACTGTGACAGATGGTTAATAGGCTTGTCATGGTGAACACATCATAAGGTATATAAATGTTGAATCCCTATGTTGTACACCTAAAACTAATACAACATGGTATGCCAACAATATTTTCATAAAAAGCAAAAAAAAAAAAAAACCCACCCACATAGTGAGTATTCATTTGAGGTAATGAATAAAATCATCCTCTAAAAACAGTAAATTGATTTGAAGTTTTGGTTAAAAACCGATGCATCATTTTACCAACTTTCTATGTTTTCATGATTTTTCTATTTTTTGAGGAAGAAAACCCCCAGCCTCAGACCCTATCCCTTTGATGCACCACTAACCTGCCTCTGAAATGCTGACCACTTCTGAGTGCCCGCTAGCAACAGTCAGTGCTGAGGTCTGTGGGGATCCAGGAGTTATTTCTGAGTCACCTGCTTCCAGGACCCCAGCCACAGCGCTTTCATTAACATCTGGAAAACTGAACGCTGTGGCGGTCTCGTTCTCATTAAGACTACCTGAGACACTTTGCCCTGATCCGCTCTCTTCGTCCCCTGTAAGAACTGCCCATGCTGTAGACGCCGGGGGGAAAGGAAGCAGGGCATTGGCAGTCTGAAAGTCACTGTCCTGTTTCCCATCACCGTGCTTTTGGGAGAGCACATTTGTTGATGGTGATTTATTAGGACTTCTGTCCATATAAGTCTGACTTTCTGAGGTCACAACTGTGACTTTACTTTCTTCTCCAGACTTCTCAGACAGGGAGTATGGTATTGGGTTATTCTGATCCACAAGACTGTTTTCCTTGGGGTCTGAACCATTCATCACCTTTTCCTGGGATTCTCTATAGAAGGAGCAGGACATACACTTATTTACAGCTAAGCCATCTCTCTCTCTGTCGTCGTCATCATCATCATCATCATCATCACCACCACCACCCACTAACTCAGCATCAGATCTGGCACTGTGAGTCAGCTCGGAAATTGTTTTAGAAGGAAACAGCAACTTGGTTGTGGCAACAGAACCATCTTTGTTGGGAAAAGCGGCTGGAATAGAAACATACGCATTCCCGAGAGGGACAGAATGATCAGCAGTTAAAAGTGTATCAGAAACTACTGCTGGAATACCAGCCAATACCTCCTCAGTAATGGAACCCTTGGTGGAGGTGAAGGCTTCATCAGGATATACAAACTCATTTAAAAGTGTATTGGGAGGTACATCCATCGATAAAACAGGAGTAGCAAATGCCTGCCTTCCTTTCGGGGGAAAGGCATGGTTAAGCTCCAAACGGGCAGTTTGGAAGAACCTATCATTACTAAACAATGAAGGTACCACTTGCTGGGAACTTTCGCTTTTAAGCAAGACTGGTTCAACATCTTTCTTACTTGCATAAGAAATGGTTACACTTTGAAGTGAGGCAGCAGGCATATTAGAAGCAGGTGATACACCAAAAACTGGCACAGATGTGGAGTGTAGCATGCTTTCACTTGAAGCAGAACTGGATGCCATGGGATGCAATATTGTAGGAATAATGTGCTCAACCCTGGGGGATGCAGCCAATATTGGATCTCTAGGCACAGCCGAAAGAGCAGTTTTAAGCAACGTGTCAACATCAGAAGCCTGAAAGGAAGGTTGCAGCGATACTTCGGGGTTAAAAGAAGCGGAGGCCTCGTAAAATAAGAGTTGAGTCGAAGGAGAAAACGTTTCGCTAGAAGCGGGGTCAGAGGGCGCTGGCTCTGAGTCTGCGCTAAGCACAGGTGTAAGAGAAGGATCGCCGGCTGCTTGAGATACGGCATGTGTAGGTTGAACTGAAAAGTTATTTTCTGGAGGTTGACTAATCTCATGATCAAAAACCTTAGTGGTAGTATAAGCAAGAGAGCCTGGAGGTATGCCCTTTGTGTTAGAAATGGAAACAGGGGACTCTTGTAAAGATGCATTCAACTTATTTACATTACTGTACAGGCCGGGCGTGACTGTGCCTTCAGGACGGGAACCCATCTCAGTGAAAGGAGACATGTGCAGTTCAGTCTGATTTCCATCTCCTACATCCCTTTGAGAGAGCGGCTTATCACCATCATCACCAAGCACAGATACCGTATATGTAAATTCAGCGACAGAAACAGGCGGAGAAATGTTAAGGGCTGTCAGACCATCTGGGTCAGGGGAAAGCCACTCACTATCAGAGGAGGCTCCAGACCACTCCCCATCACCAGAGAGGCCGTGAGTGGGCTGCAGCCACGGGGCGGTGGGGGGTATTAACGAGGGCTGCTGCATGGGTGTGTGGCTAGGACCGCTAAGGAAGGAACCCCGAGAAGACACACCGACAGAATCATGCACAGGGACTGCAGAACCATAAGAAACAGTGAAGAGGTGTCGGGAGGCCTCGTCATGAGACAAGGCCGAGGAAGGTTCGGGCCCCGAAGAACGTGCATGCATGGTGACATCACCGCTGGCTGGCTCAGCTGGAGGAGACAGGCGCGTTTTATGAAGGACACCAGCGTCACTACCACCGAATTCCAACGTCTCTGAAGCAGCATGAGGCGTGGCCTGATGTGCCATCACAGGAGAGGACTGGGCCAGGCTGGGCGCTAACAGGACATCGCCCCCGGCCACTGGCAGAGAAGCATGCAGGGACCCCTGGGCACGCTCCCCAGCGGAGGTCACTGGTGGGAGGATCTGAGAAGCCGTGTACAGATGGCGAAACCATTCACTACTGAAGGAAGCAGAGGAAAATGGAAGCAAAGGTGCACCATCAGAGGAAGACAGGATGGAGTCAAATGACACAGGGACACTGGGAGACACAGGCGTCGCATGCAAGGCCGGATCACTACTCGAAGCGGCAGGGGGAGTGTCGAGGACCGGATGGCCAAGCAACACAGGGGTGACTAGAGGAAAGGCGCCACTACTGGAGGGAGGCTGAAGAGGTGTCTCACCATTGTACACGGGCTGCGTGGTCTGCGAATAGACCACGTTGACAGTGGGCACCAAGTCCCGTTTCCCAGAGGACGGAGTAAAAGCGCGAGGTGTTACCTCGGTGGGGAAGAAGGCAAAGGAAGAAGAAGGTGGCATTTCCATATCTGTGACCGAGGGGCCCTGGGGCACCCATGGGCCTGGAGAAGAGGACTCGGCTGTCTTCTCAGATGCGTCCACATGTCTCTCGGTGGGATGAGTCGGGAGAAGGCCCTCGCCACCTGATCCAACATCGGGCTGTGTCCTCCCGTCTGTGGGGCCAGGAAACCACACACTTCCCTCCCCGGAAGGGTCTTTGAGGGATTCTTCTGAACCCGATGATGCTGACTCTTCGGAAACATTTCTCGTGGGTGCTGGGATAAGGACATCATAGGTGATGGCCTCTGGGTTTTCTGAAGAAAATTCATACCCGTGGGCTATGTTCTCGGAGGTGAATGGCACAGCAGCAGTGGTGGGACTGGAGCCTGAAGAATCATCGGCTCCCGGGTCGAGCTTGACACTGGTGAGTAAACTCTCTTCGTCACTGAGATCAGTAGATACCTCTTGAGATTCCATTACAGAAGCTGTGCTTAGAGATTCCACAGTCCAAGACACGTTCCTCTGTGGAAATCTGAGAACAGTTTTAGAGGCTGAAGTGCCTTCCAGAGTGAGAAGTGGAGGTTTGGTCACAGTCCGTGATGTCAAAGAAACATCTTTTTCTGGGGCTAATGCAGTGACTGGTCGGGAAGTGGGATCTAGAGACGTGTTGGGAATATCACCCTTTCCAGAGAAGTCCCCTCCTCGTGCTGGGGACCGGTTAGTCTTGGCCTCGTTGAATTTAGTCCCTATGCGATGGTAGTTTGTTGTGGTAGAACTCTGGGGTTCCTTTCTCCTTATTTGGTTTGTGGCACTGTCTCTACCAGGATTCACAGGCGTGTCTTCTTCCTCTTCTTCCTCCTTTGAAAAGCAAACAAGACTTAGTGGAACATAAGGAAATAAGAGAACAGCTACATCTCAATAATATCTTATACTGCAGTATACTGGTAATCTTCATTCGTGGGATCTTGGGGACTTCCCATAAAGCACCATTCCAGAGAAGGCCTTCTCATCTCAAGGCACACAAAAACTAATTGCTAAAATTCTGCTGCCCACCAAAAAATATATTATATTTTTTCCTATCTGCCAAAACAATGAGGTATAATTTTATTTTATTCACACCAGATGGTTATTGTGTTGGCTGTTGTCATTTTTTTTCAAATATGTTTTTTCTTTTTTATTCAGAGAGAGGAAGGGAGAGCGAGAGAAGGATAGAAACATCAGTGATGAGAATCATTGATCGGCTGCCTTCTGCCCGCCCCCTACTGGAGATTGAGTGGCAACCTGGGCATGTGCCCTGACCGGGAATCAAACAGTGACCTCCTGGTTCATAGGTTGATGCTCAACCACTGAGCCACACCAGCCGGGATGTTGCCATTTTTTAATTTGACAATCTAAGGCAGCGTTTCTCAACCCGTGGGTCGCGAACAATGAAAATACATCCCGCATATCAGATATTTACATTATGATTCATAACAGTAGCAAAATTACAGTTATGAAGTAGCAACGAAAATAATTTTATGGTTGGGGGTCACCACAACATGAGGAACTGCAGAGGAAGACAGGATGGAGTCAAATGACACAGGGACACTGGGAGACACAGGCGTCGCATGCAAGGCCGGATCACTACTCGAAGCGGCAGGGGGAGTGTCGAGGACCGGATGGCCAAGCAACACAGGGGTGACTAGAGGAAAGGCGCCACTACTGGAGGGAGGCTGAAGAGGTGTCTCACCATTGTACACGGGCTGCGTGGTCTGCGAATAGACCACGTTGACAGTGGGCACCAAGTCCCGTTTCCCAGAGGACGGAGTAAAAGCGCGAGGTGTTACCTCGGTGGGGAAGAAGGCAAAGGAAGAAGAAGGTGGCATTTCCATATCTGTGACCGAGGGGCCCTGGGGCACCCATGGGCCTGGAGAAGAGGACTCGGCTGTCTTCTCAGATGCGTCCACATGTCTCTCGGTGGGATGAGTCGGGAGAAGTCCCTCGCCACCTGATCCAACATCGGGCTGTGTCCTCCCGTCTGTGGGGCCAGGAAACCACACACTTCCCTCCCCGGAAGGGTCTTTGAGGGATTCTTCTGAACCCGATGATGCTGACTCTTCGGAAACATTTCTCGTGGGTGCTGGGATAAGGACATCATAGGTGATGGCCTCTGGGTTTTCTGAAGAAAATTCATACCCGTGGGCTATGTTCTCGGAGGTGAATGGCACAGCAGCAGTGGTGGGACTGGAGCCTGAAGAATCATCGGCTCCCGGGTCGAGCTTGACACTGGTGAGTAAACTCTCTTCGTCACTGAGATCAGTAGATACCTCTTGAGATTCCATTACAGAAGCTGTGCTTAGAGATTCCACAGTCCAAGACACGTTCCTCTGTGGAAATCTGAGAACAGTTTTAGAGGCTGAAGTGCCTTCCAGAGTGAGAAGTGGAGGTTTGGTCACAGTCCGTGATGTCAAAGAAACATCTTTTTCTGGGGCTAATGCAGTGACTGGTCGGGAAGTGGGATCTAGAGACGTGTTGGGAATATCACCCTTTCCAGAGAAGTCCCCTCCTCGTGCTGGGGACCGGTTAGTCTTGGCCTCGTTGAATTTAGTCCCTATGCGATGGTAGTTTGTTGTGGTAGAACTCTGGGGTTCCTTTCTCCTTATTTGGTTTGTGGCACTGTCTCTACCAGGATTCACAGGCGTGTCTTCTTCCTCTTCTTCCTCCTTTGAAAAGCAAACAAGACTTAGTGGAACATAAGGAAATAAGAGAACAGCTACATCTCAATAATATCTTATACTGCAGTATACTGGTAATCTTCATTCGTGGGATCTTGGGGACTTCCCATAAAGCACCATTCCAGAGAAGGCCTTCTCATCTCAAGGCACACAAAAACTAATAGCTAAAATTCTGCTGCCCACCAAAAAATATATTATATTTTTTCCTATCTGCCAAAACAATGAGGTATAATTTTATTTTATTCACACCAGATGGTTATTGTGTTGGCTGTTGTCATTTTTTTTCAAATATGTTTTTTCTTTTTTATTCAGAGAGAGGAAGGGAGAGCGAGAGAAGGATAGAAACATCAGTGATGAGAATCATTGATCGGCTGCCTTCTGCCCGCCCCCTACTGGAGATTGAGTGGCAACCTGGGCATGTGCCCTGACCGGGAATCAAACAGTGACCTCCTGGTTCATAGGTTGATGCTCAACCACTGAGCCACACCAGCCGGGATGTTGCCATTTTTTAATTTGACAATCTAAGGCAGCGTTTCTCAACCCGTGGGTCGCGAACAATGAAAATACATCCCGCATATCAGATATTTACATTATGATTCATAACAGTAGCAAAATTACAGTTATGAAGTAGCAACGAAAATAATTTTATGGTTGGGGGTCACCACAACATGAGGAACTGTATTAAAGGGTGGCAGCATTAGGAAGGTTGAGAACCACTGAAGGGAAAAGAGGTCAGTGCCTCTAATTAAACAGTCAGGTATCGCATGTTTCAAAGTGTTCCAGCACATGGGTTGAAAATCGCTGCTCTATCCTATAACCTTTATCATCCACCCTCTAGAGCAGTGGTTCTCAACCTTCTGGCCCTTTAAATACAGTTCCTCATGTTGTGACCCAACCATAAAATTATTTTCGTTGCTACTTTATAACTGTAATGTTGCTACTGTTATGAATCGTAATGTAAATATCTGATATGCAGGATGGTCTTAGGCGACCCCTGTGAAAGGGTCGTTCGCCCTCCAAATGGGTCGAGACCCACAGGTTGAGAATTGCTGCTCTAGAGAGAGTAATTAAATTTAATGAAAACATCCTATTTATGACTGCCTTTATTTTAATGCTATGTAATGAAGTAATTAAATTAATAGATACCACATCTTTGAAAGGAAGACACATTGTAGTTACTGGGAGTGTTATTTAACATAGTATGTATTATTTTTTGTTTCTCTGTTCAGTACATCTGACAACAAACTAAATAGGAATTAGCTTTTTGTAATATGAAATGTCAATGAAACAACTTATTTCAAAGACCAAAGTAGTTGCACATTCAGCATATTTCATTGTATATATTAAGAATAAATCATAATTTTTAAGACCTCATAATAGAAAGAAGTTTTTTTTTTTTTCATTTTGTTTGAAATACTTTCCACTTAAGACTTAGGCAGACATTTTAGAGACAGCTTGTCAAAATACATTTCTAGTACTAGTTAGTTATTTTGTGTTTCCTTTGGAAACACCATTCAGGTGACCCAGCCTTTCATGACCACTTAGTCACTATAATGACCCAGGAACAATCTAGCGAGAGGTCAACCAAGACCCATAATTTCTGGTTTTGATTTGCCTTTTTAAAAAACCTATTCATGCCGAAACCGGTTTGGCTCAGTGGATAGAGCGTCGGCCTGCGGACTGAAGGGTCCCAGGTTCGATTCCGGTCAAGGGCATGTACCTGGGTTGTTTGTACAGAAAGTAAAGCAATGTTATTGTGGGATTTGATAGAAATTGTTAGATCATATAGAGAATATAGATGTTGTCTTTTGGGAACTTTGGTTGAGAAGGGAGGAGACAGTGGAATAATAACTAGAAGTTAATTAGAGAGGGTGGAGTTGGTAGGTCCCTGTTTTGGTTTTTAGTGTTAGGAGGAGGTACGTGTTTGTCTATGGCTTCTATTTTCCCCGTAAACAGTAAGGTCATCTGCTGTGAATGAGGGGTGAGGAGAGGAAAACAGGTTTGAATAGAGCAGAAAAAAGTTTGACAGTCTTGGCAGAGGATAAGAACATGGAGTGATACAGAAACTAGGCACAAATCCAGATTTGCAAAAATGAGGAAGAGTTGAGAAAATCCATGTTGTTAAACTTAACACTGATCCTCAGCAAAACTTTCAATCAGATTATAAAACAAATGGGTAAGAACTTCTAGGGAAAGCAGAGATATCTGGCACCAACAAATTTTCCCCGAGAGTGAGTCAAGGCAATCTCTTCTCATTTCCTTTTTTATGAGGTGTTGGGGCTTGTAAATTAAGTGAGTATTTTATTCAGGAAAATTACTTGGTGAAAGCACTTGGGTTGTCCTTATGAACAAGATATTAAACAATGCAAAATTTCATGAAGAAATACTGACCACTAGTGAGGCAATTTGTCTAGGCCCGTGGTCGGCAAACCGCAGCTTGCGAGCCACATGCAGCTCTTTGGCCCCTTGAGTGTGGCTCTTCCACAAAATACCGGCTCTTTCACAAAATACTGACTTCTGCGCATGGGCCACGAAGTTTCAATCGCACTGTACGTGCGCGCCCACATGTTGTATTTTGTGGAAGAGCCACACTCAAGGGGCCAAAGAGCTGCATGTGGCTCGCAAGCTGCGGTTTGCCGACCACGGGCCTAGACAAATTGCCTCACTAGTGGTCAGTATTTCTTCATGTAATTTTGCATTGTTTAATATCTTGTTCATAAGGACAACCCAAGTGCTTTCACCAAATAATTTTCCTGAATAAAATACTCACTTAATTTACAAGCCCCAACACCTCATAAAAAAGGAAATGAGAAGAGATTGCCTTGACTCACTCTCGGGGAAAATTTGTTGGTGCCAGATATCTCTGCTTTCCCTAGAAGTTCTTACCCATTTGTTTTATAATCTGATTGAAAGTTTTGCTGAGGATCAGTGTTAAGTTTAACTACATGGATTTTCTCAACTCTTCCTCATTTTTGCAAATCTGGATTTGTGCCTAGTTTCTGTATCACTCCATGTTCTTATCCTCTGCCAAGACTGTCAAACTTTTTTCTGCTCTATTCAAACCTGTTTTCCTCTCCTCACCCCTCATTCACAGCAGATGACCTTACTGTTTACGGGGAAAATAGAAGCCATAGACAAACACGTACCTCCTCCTAACACTAAAAACCAAAACAGGGACCTACCAACTCCACCCTCTCTAATTAACTTCTAGTTATTATTCCACTGTCTCCTCCCTTCTCAACCAAAGTTCCCAAAAGACAACATCTATATTCTCTATATGATCTAACAATTTCTATCAAATCCCACAATAACATTGCTTTACTTTCTGTGCTTATACAAACACTTTATTATCTTCCTTCCATAAGCTTTATAGATTTCTATGAAATTTTTCTTAAAACATAATGCTACACACCTTCTTCTTCTGTTAAATCTGGAAAAATTACTATATGTGCGTAGATACACACTTCCCTTCTATTTTTCTCTTTTCTAGCAGATTTTAGACTTTATGAAGTTCAGATACCTCCCAGAATCTGATGAAGGTGATGGATCATTTATTAATCCTACCCATCAAATCTTGCAAATCTCTATGAGGCCATACTGCCTTTTGTCAGCATTTGAAGGAGAATATGTAAGTCATGCTCTACGATTATACATATGTGAAACTACGAATATTTTAATGGGTACTTCTTCCTATAATTTCTTATGGAGTTATTGTGAATCTCTCTTCCACTATGGTTTTGATCTGTGCCACGCCGGCTATCCTTCACAACTTCCATTTTTCAAAAATCATTGGAAAGCCTGGATTATGCTGGAGATGCTTTGTCTTTCAAAGTCATACAATTCTATTTAAAGAGGATCTGAGAAACATCCCCAAACTATTCATTTCCATATTCAAGCTTAAACCCGCTACAAATACATTCCAGATATTCGCCAATCTCTATCATTCATGCCTGCATGCATCAATGAAAGTGGACAGTGTTATGGACTGAATGTTTGTGCCCACCCCCTCCCAACTCATCTGGTGAAATTCTACCCTCCCAATGTGATGGCATTAGGAGGTGGGGGTCTTGGGGAGGTAATTAAAATTAGGTTTTAAAGGGGAACCCCGTGAGTGGGATCAGTGCCTTTGTAAGAGTCATGGGAGAGCTTGCTTCTTCTGCTCTGCTTTCTACCATGTGGAGAAGCGCGCAGCCTGCACCCAGAAGGCCTCTCTGGTCGTGCTGGCACCTTAATCTCAGACTCCCAGGTTCCAGGACTGTGAGAGATAAATTTTTGTTGTTTAGAAGCTATCCTGTTTACGGTATTTTGCTATAGCAGTGTGGACTAACACACAAACTAAAGATTTGAATTTACAGTGTAAAGATATTTTCTTTTTCCTGCCTTTTGCTTGATTCTGGTGATAATTTCTAGGTACATACATATCCACGCGCATGTGCACACAAGCATGCAGGCACGCACACTCACAGAAAGATACCCTTAGCTGAATTCTATGAACTCTTGTTAATAGATGAACTGGCTATTTTGGTAAAATAATCCTTTGCAAGAGAGAATTGCTGTAAGTTATATAAAGTATTGAGGTAATTATACATGTAAAACACAACCCAATTGCTACTTATTGGTAGAAAATAGCATTAGTTATCACACTTTATGATCTCATACATATATATGTACATATACACACATCCATACTACATTAACAACAGCATCTGGATTTAAACATATAATCTCAGTTAAGATGAATAGTGCATTTGGGTTTAGGATTAAATATTAGATACATCAGTCAGTTTCTCTATCTTTTAAAAATTAAGACAATGTTAAAATGTATAAATATTTTTAATTAACCCTTTACTTGAAGAACAAACATCATCTGAATGGTCCAAACACAAGTATTCAAATTAAATGGGCAAAAAATATATTCAATTTATATTTTGGCCCATATTTATTATCAATCTATTAATCATTAGTTAAGTTAGTTATAAATAAACTGT